GATGCAAACAAAGGATGCTGCAGCCAGTTGGCTGAAGCTCCCTAGTTCAGGGACACATGACCGTAGAGGGAAAAAAAGCTGCATGGGATCTTCCATAATGTATGCCACTAACATAAGGTCCCTTGTACCTTGCATTAGTGTTGAGTCAGACCTAGCAAAGCTCCACTAGACTATACGCTCTCCCGTCCCCTCCCTGACCTGCCCAGGCCCTGTCCCAGCACACCAACTTCATGGGGGGTGGGGAGCAGCTGATGCAGGTGGCAATCAAATTGCCACCAATACCTGCTCAGCAGCTTAGTGTAGTCTTCACGAGCTGTAATTCTTCACTGGTCTTCTCTAGCTATTCCTAACCATTTTGCACCCCACATGCAAAGCACAGTGGCTTGAGAAGACCAGAAAATGTGTTTATATCAGTCACAGTAACCCTGTTCAAGAGTTATAACTGGTACTGCCACTTTCTCTCCTGCCATGGCAGCACAAGCCTTAAGAGAGTATTACTCACCTTGTGTAGTATCGGAGGTTCTTCAAGATAATTGTCCCTGCAGGTGCTCCACTTTAGGTGTTTGGGTGCCACGGCGCACCCACTCAGAAATTTTTGGTAGCCGTACCCTCCGGTAGGCTGCGTATGCAGAGCAGACAGCACGCATGGTGCTGCTACTAGACATGTACAGCCAATCGCCCCCTCCGTTCCTTCTCCAAGAATAAATTAACTATGTCCGAAGCAGAGGGGAGGAAGGGCAGGTGGTGGAGCACCCACAGAGACAACCATCTCCAAGAACCTCCATTACTGAACAAGGTGAGTAACCCTCTGTCATGACCATGAGGGTTAGCCAGCAGCCTGGGGACTAAGGGGTTAACTATGTCCCTTACCTAAGCCAGGTAGAGTCAGCCAATAGGAATGTAGGCAAGAATTTCCAACTGGGACAAAGGAATTTTTGGGTTTTTTCCTTCTTTGTCCCTGGGCAACTTCTCTCCAGCTACTGAGGGGGACAGACACTATGTCTCCCTCCAAGAAAAGACTCTTCACTATCTGTAAGTAGGTAAAGCTTAGATAATTCCATTAGGTTTTATTGTTTTATGGTTTGGGAATGGGAATCTGGTGTCTGTGCATTTAAAAATGGGTTTTCCTCTACTTTGTAACTAAGTTTTGGCCCATGGTGGAATCTCCCCCATGAATATATTAATTTGTGACTTTTCCATCTAGTCATTATGCTTGCAACAGGAATACTGTGGTGATAACAAAAGTTCTTTCTCTTTTCATTAACGTTGTATTGGTTAATTTGTGTGTCCTGGTTTTACTTTTGGGGCTGAGATTTCCCCAGAAGTCTCTCCCTGGTTTCTTTATTATTACTTGGGTGGTGGCCGTGAATTTTTAATCCCCAAAATCTAGGGTTTTAAGATTTTGGGGAGAAGCTTTACACTAAAGCCTGGAAATATAAAGTTTTGGGGTACTTTTGCAGGCTCCCACTTCTGCATTTATCATGCCAGAGTGGGGAAGAATCCCTGACACCCTCTCTTCTTCTTTGAGGAGTGTACCTGTGAGTGCTCCACCTTAGGTGACTACAGAGCAGTACCCATGATTGGAGGTGAGTGCTTTGGCTATTCAGTATCCTGGACAGCAGCCAGAAGAGTGTCCAAAATGAGTACCCTGGAGAGGTATCGAGGGCATAATGTCTGGTGAACATGAGGACAGAGGACCACATAGTGGATCTGAAGATGTCTGTAAGAGATATATTGTTGAAGTGGGCCATAGAAGCCACCATGGCCCTTGTAGAGTGTGCACATATTTGTAATGGAGGGTCTTGGTTGAAGATGAAATAGGCCAACTGGATGCAGTCCACTATCCATCTAGGCAGCCTCTGGGTGGAAACTGGCAAGCCCAGGGATTTGTCTGTAGTGGATATGAACAGTCTAGGTGTTTTGCAGATTTGTCTCATCCTGTCCAGGTAAAAGGCGATTGCTCTACATTCATCTAGTGTGTGCCATGTAGCCTCTTTCATATCAACATGAGGCTTTGGGAAGAGACAGGTAGCATTATAGGTTCATGCAGTGAAACAAAGTGGTTACCTTCGGTACAAACTTCGGATGAGGGCGAATGGAATACAGTGAAGGGGGGTATGCCATAAGTGCACCAATTTCACTCACCCTCCTGGCCAAGGTGATGGCCACCAATAAAGCCACCTTCATGGAAAGGAAAGGTGCATGAAGCACCATGTGCATGTGATCTTATTTTGTTGAATACTCGATGGAGGAGGGGGATTGGAGGAAATGCATATGGGAGAGATGCATTCCGGGGTACTGTGAACACGTCTCCCAGGGAGTGTAAGCCAATGCCCATATGGGATCAAGAATGTGGACACTTCTTGTCGGTACTGGTTGCAAACAAGTCCACCCATAGTGACTGAATTTCTGTTGCAGAATCTTGGGGTCCATTTCTGATTTGTGATTTGAT